ATTGGGAATACAGGTTTGACCTGGACAAATGCTCATCATGGATATCTACAGTATTATTAGTGATATAAGTGTGTCTGCTTGCCTGTCAGACACAGCTCAGGGCACAAAGAGCTCAAAGGCTCTTCTCCCAACTCTCTGTTTTTTTGTCTGCTGTGTGTCTGTTCTCCCCTCGTTCTTTATCGTCAGCCCTCACCAGCTTCCTTCCTCACTCTCAGCCTGGACCTCCTCCTCCTCTTCCTCCTCCTCCTCCTCCTCCTCCTCCACAGAGCTCCTTTTCTCTCTGAGTAGATTTTCCCTGCAGACATCTGCGTTCTCTCTGATCAGAGTTTCATTGTGTCACATTTGACGCTCTTTAAAAAAACAGAATGACCTGTTTATGTGCAGAAGGAGAGGAAGTCTCTGCATGCAGTCGAGATTGTGAATTTAATGATAATAGAGTTCTTCATTCCTGCAGATGTGAAGTGATTTATTGACTCATCGTCTTCATGGGAACGCTCCCTGACTAACATGAGTGACTTACCCTCCTCTTCAGTCTTATTTACACACAGCTGACTCTGTGAGACTGATCAGTAAGCTGTCCTCCTCTTTGGGATCTTTGGGAAACAAATCTGTAAGAATCACAGGAATGATTTTGAATAAGAGGATGTTAACTATCTTACTCGTCACTCTTTATTATTATTATAATAATAATAATAACTTTATTTGTATAGCACTTTTAAAAACACGGGTTAACAAAGTGCTTTGACACATACAGAAGCATACACAACAACAACTTGTTTGTTAGTGTGTCGTCGTTTTCTGTGTGACCATGAAGTCAGACTCAATTACTGTAACTCAGAAAAACCATCAAATCCACAGAGTCTGAAGTCTGAGCCAATCAGAGAGCTCCCAGAAGTCCAAGCCAATAAGAGCAGTCTGAGTCAGTAAATAAGAAGCTGATGTTATCTTCTTAGTTTCCAAAGTGAAGCCAATACAGAACTGTCTTAGACCTGCATCCTCTCTGAAGTCTAGCAGGGGGCAAAAATCAGTCTGCTCATAGAGGTCTATGATAAAATGTTCCCACTTGTCACTGGATTTATTCTCTCAGTAAACATTTTAATTATATGTTTATGATCTCATTATCTTGCTTTAAGTCTTCTTTAATACAGCATGATGTTCATTTAGTAAATGAAGGTCCCATTTAGAGTCATCCAGACCAGAAACAGGGGAGGAGTTAGGTCAGACCTGTGATTGACAAGGTGCTGCCATGGCAGCCTGAAAAATGTCTTGATCAGGGTATAGTTGTACTAAAAGACACTCTGATGAGTTGAATGTTGATATATAGTAAGTACATTTTTGTTAAAAGCCCCTTTTTTAAAAGACATTCAAAGTAATATCACACTTTCTATGAATTAAGGTATTCAAAATATTTGATTGTTTTAGTTTTTAAGTTTTAAAACAGTACAAGCTGTTATTTTAATAATCAATA